TTTGATATTATTGCTATAGGTGTCTCTACAATCAGGTCTTTGTGATTTACTGGATCACGAACAAAGTACTACTAGTGAAGTTGTCGAGCAGTCAAAGGAAGATGAAGAAATAAAGAAATACTTAGAACGCAAACCCAATTTAGAAGAAAAGAAGATGGATCCTTTGGACTACTGGATGCAAAAGAGGGAATTCTACTCTTTGCTATTTCCAACTGCTTGTGCAATTCTCTCTACTCAAGCATCAACAGCTTTGGTTGAACAAGTTTTTTCTTCTAGTGGAGAAATATCGAGGAGAAAAAGAAATTGTCTATTCAACATGCATTTAGAAAGAGAAACACTACTATACAGAAACAAAAACTATCTCTAATCATTACAATTAATTCAAAAAAATTTAATGATAGTTTTGATTAAAACTACAGAAAATGTCATACTATAAATATAACTACATTAGATTAGTTTGGTTTACTAGGTTTGGTATTGCAACTAGAATTAGAATAATTACTGGAACTACAACTAGAACTAATATTAGTTACAGGTTTAGTACTGGAACTAGAACTAATGCTAGTTCAGGTTTAGTACTGGAACTAGAACTAATACTAAGTAAAGGTTTAGTACTGGAACAAGAACTAGAACTAATACTAGGCACTGGTTTAGTACTGGAACTAGAACTAGAACTAATTAAAAAATAAGAACTAGAACAACACTGCAGCAGATATCAGGGGCATTGAAGTCACCAAGGATTATGACACAGTGCCCCAGACTGAAGATTGACTCAAAGTAGGTGAGCAAGCTAGCATGATATGAGCAGTCAGCATTATGTGGTACATATACAAGGCACAGTAAGTAAGTTTTACTAGGCGTGGCAATCGTCACACATACTATCTCTAAGTCAAAGAATAATTTAAGCTGAGAAGAGGAAAGGGAAGATATACTGCTATATGTACTCTACTACCATGAGTCATGTCTATAGATAGTGAACTGGGAAGGTATTATCTAAGAGTTCTGAAAGGAGTGATTCAACCACGTTTCTGTTAAAAG